TTTTGTCTTGAAAACACTGTGGTTACTCGAGGTTAGACAGACCATCTCCGTGTCTGTATTATGTAACTTTTTACTTAAAGGGGCACCTTCTAGTTAAGCCTAATCTCACAACATATTTACTTTCTGGATTAAAATAACAATGGATAACAAAAGATAGATTAACATTGTAAACAACATAAACAATAGTGTCCCATGATTCTTTGGTGCAATCCCTGGGATTGAGCGGTTCCCCTTTAATGTCGATAACGCTATTTTTTACTGCAACTGGTCATATATTTATTTAACAATGTATATAAACAACACGATTGTTCTAATATAGTCAACTAGTGTAGCCTTTGAGTGTGTATACAGTATACAACTGTGGGTGTACGTCTCATATAGAGTGTTTCATCCGGCATCGTACACTAAAGAATGTTGTACCGTAAACTCGAACGTTGTTTTTGTCACTTACTAAATAATGTCGATTTGATAAAACATTGAGCTTCGCGACTTCGAATGCGTTTTCTATTACCTGTACGTAGTACTAATCCAAAGTGCATGAGCATAATGTAATAAACCATTTTCCGTTCACTGCGAGATCCCGCGCTATGCGTGAAATCAAACGTAAAAACAGGAGAAACAAAGTTCACGCGAAAGTATTTGGGGGGATATTTCCATGCTTAAATAAGGTGCTGTACACATTTGATGATGGTCAATTTCTATGAAGTAAGGGTATTCAAACGCAATATTCCCCTGTCAAAAATCGGTCTTTCGATGTGAGCTACGAAATACAGAAATTCGGGTTCAAAATCAAATCGTTCGCTTTTTGCGGCAGACGTTCGGTGCTCGTATTTCACGCAACTCGCGAGATCTCGCAGTTGAACGGAAAATCACATATCGTAGAACTGATACTATATTAGTAACGTTTTTAAAAAAATTAGTTCAATGTATATAACAACAAGCAATATACTAACATATATTTAGAAAATGGCATATTCAGTGTTTCTCTTTGTTTTTGTTTTTTATACAAACCCCATTTTTTTATCTCTTGGATGCGTAGAAACATCTGGCACTCCTGTCGAAGGATGCCCCCATGCGTCGAAGTCTGTCCATTGGATCCCCCACTGTGTAACTGTTTTTGGCTGTAGTGCCGTACATAGTGCGGTATGCATTGGAGTGATACTGTTTGGGATTTCCTGGTGACAAGATTTTGGGTAGCTTCAACGACGACGTCACTAACAATGGTGGCAATTTGTTTGACGTTCTCGAGAACTGAGACTGTGTGGCTAACGTGTTGCCTTCGGACTCCGATTGCTCGACGGCTTTTGCACGCTTCGCAAAAACTGTGTTTGCATCCGGTTGATTCTTTCCCCGGTAAGTCTCGGACCTCCGAAAGCTGTACGCGTGAGTTCGTCTCTGGTTTATCGAGCAGTAGTCCTTAATAAGATCGTGTACCAAGAAAGACAGATTCACCAATTTTGGGAGAACCAACATAGCGCCCCCATACAATGGGAAATCCTCTCGTCTTAAACTGTAATGCAAGCCGTTCCCGAATCTGAGTTGCGTGGTTGTTGGGTCTTTATACAGCTGCGAAAAATCGTAATAGTCTTGCTGAAGTTTGTGCCAACTCTCTAGGGCTCGATTAATATCATGTACCAACGTTTTGCGTATATCGCGCTGTCCAACTTCTGCTTCGCAAGAATACCTCGCAGGCCAGACTTTGTTTTTAACGTATTTCAACAGTTCCTTAAAAGAATTCCATGTACTGATAAAGTCTTGCAAGCACTTGATATAGTTACCTTCATCCGTTGAAATATTTTCTCTCAGAAGCGTACAGTAAGCTTTGATTTGGTTTATATTTCGCACGCCAAAGCACCTGCTGTTGCCGTAGCTGGCGTTGAATTCGGCGGGAAAACCAGTACCTCCGACGTTAACTTCATCCAGTACATAACTCACGTGCACTGCTCTCTTAATTGCGCTTGCCATTCGCAATGCCTTCACAAAAGAATCTCGCCTGTCTAGAAATCTTTCATATTGTAACACCAACTTCGTAATCATACCGTAAAATATTCGGTTCTGTTCCTGTAAAACGTCAGTATGTAAGTTTCCTCCCTCCATTTCTGTGTCGAAAGGTTAACGATTGTATTCACAAAGGCGGGGAACAATTAACCCAAACAAGCGACCTACAAGAGTTCCCTTATTTTACGATCGTATTTTTATTACACCATTGGCTTCGTTCTCAACGACGTATTACAGTGTAGCGTAACTACGGTGATTCCGTTTCTCGGCAGCAATGTAAACCGTCGGGGGATACAAGAACTATGCTCGACCTGTAGGTATTTGGGGGTATTTTTCCAACTTGTTTTATGTCAATACGTCAAAATAAGGAGAAAAAATCTTGAAGTTAGCATCCAAGATATTTGATTTACTCGTAGAAGATTCTGTGATGTAGTTTCATTTATGACTTGGTGGGTAGTTTCACTAGCAAGTGAGACTCTAGGTGACTAAATATTGTTCCATTGAAGTGTACTTTGTGGCGATCCCCGGTCGGCAAGGCACGTACGTTACGGTGATGATCTATTATTCGTCCATACCCGTCATGATGGTAAGGTTTTCCTAACGGGAGCAACTACGCAACATGTCCGTCATTAGAGTGTGCATATGTGTCACTTACACCGTTCATGTGCACTAAATGATCTACCTCAGCTTATGCTGAAAGCACGGCAAACTGATATATTTCTTATTCCACGCTGATAGCAATCGGTTACTTCGACAAATATCGTTTTCACAGCAACATACTTCAGTCGGCCATGCCTCGATTTCAAGTTGTCATCACATTACAACCTCGGTCCAAAATACGCTATAGACACCCTCGCTACCAAAAAAAAATACATTCGATTAAAATCATAAAAACAGAACTTGCAAAACTTGCGAAACTCTGCAAAAATCCATCTAGATGCAGTAGATTTGTGCGTATACACCCCATATATAGAATAACAACCTGTTGATTTTTACCTGTATTAGGTGAGCGCGTGTCGTCGTTGTTGTTGTGGTGGTGGTCCCCTTCACCGTGCGACGGCGGAGGTGATGGCGGCGGCACTAAAATCAATGCCACGTGAATTTCACCGCATTAATTAAACAACGTACAAACGTGAAATCAAGCAGTTGTGTCATAGTCTGTGCACACTGAACTGATGTACGACAACAATACTCGATGCCAAGTAACAGCAAACATGTGATTGTAACCAACAGTGACTAGCTGGTATGACAATATTAATGTTTATGTAGGGTAATCGTCGACATCAATGGAACCTGGATGAGACAATTGACTACCACTTGAGCGTTGCCATGTCAGCCACAGCATAATTGGTCAGTAGAATTTTCCGCGGAGTATCTTGTCTGTCATATTTTGTAATGTATTTTTCGAGTAAAATCGCCAAAATGAAATTTAAAATTAATAATATAGAGGTCATGGTGTTCTGACAATTCCAACTTTAAAAATGATTACAATGATGGGAGGTTAATTTAAATGGAAAACCAACGACAGACACATTCCCCGGGTGTTTTGATTAGGTGGGTTACCAATTCAACAACATATAAAAACGCCACACACCGCTGCGTTCACTTTTATTTTAACAGTTTCGGCACCAATACGCAAGAGCTTATAGAATGCTGGCTAGTGTAGCGCAAACAAGAAGTAAAAACGACACGCTGCTGGTTAGGCATTTTATAATTCATAATAAACAATTGGTATCGATAGAAACTCTGTATAGAAAAAAATCCAGCCCATGACAAACGCAATTTGAAATGAAACATGTGGAACAGGTGCTCGACAACGTAACCATGACGACCAGCCATGTTAAGTAGTTTCTAATAGCACTGGAGTCGCGTCAGGTCAAAGTTCACTAAGTCGCAAAACACAGGAGGTCGACAACGTCTATGCGTCCTGCTTGTTATGCGCTTCGTAGATTAATTTGACGTGAATTGCGCAAGGACTGCGCTCGGTGGACGAGCGATGAATTTAGGTAGGAACATTGTACGTTTTAAATTTGCTAACTTTAAGCACCACTTCAAAGGTGTAGCCTGATATACTCGTACTAAGCTCCCATTTATCTTACAAATCATGGGGCACATCGTATCTCGCCGTGTGTCAGCAAAGCTCAGGTTCGATCCCTCCGCAGATCTGAACTTCTTCCCATGCATGTGGCCATAGGGGCTCGTTACTTTAATATCCGTCACAGGAAGTCGGAATGATTTATTTATTTTTGTTCATTCAATGGTCATTTTTTCCTCGATAAAAATAACCCACCATCGGTGAGATTATTTTTACTTTTACTTTCTGTAGCATTTCCATTCGTTTTTTTTTTTAAATAGGGTGCTGATGAATTGGACTAGCACGATCCATATTACGTAAGCAAAAATTATTTTCAATTAGTGAATTTGGTAAATCTTAATGAAATATCGAAACGATTATTCGATCGAGGAATAGTTACACAGCAAGATGTCAATACGATGATCTAAAAAAGACAACTCATACTTATACTTATTGTACCATCGTAATCAAAGGTATCGCTATTTACACGACTTCGTTCAGTAACTCATTTGGGGAATTCTTCACAACCTTTCATTCGCAACAGAAACGGCATCGTGATGCAGGTGAATAGATTGTTGTTTATATGATGAACTAGATTTGAATTTCTGTGAAATCAGTCCGGAAAGGATTTAGTATCATCGAACGCATTTAAACACTGTTTTACATAACGTCATGCATTGCCCCATACCCTGTCCGTCGTAATATGCTGAGCGCACCTGAACAGAAACACGATGTCGATGTTTATGACAGATAGTTCATATGGTTCATTATTTTTTGTACATATTCTGATATTTGCAGTTGCTATAGGACGGACTACAAATACGTATACATATTTATAATGATCGATGGCAGGGATTGAACGCGTTGTCATGCCTAGCACAATATTAAACGCTGTTACATCTTACAACACCATGTCTTGTACGCTGACATGACAACGGATGACAAAGTACTAATAATGTACAAGGCGGAAATACACAAAAAATACAGCAGACTGGTAGAGGGACTTAACGCGTGTGTGACGCAATGGGAAACATTTTGCAGGCAGCAGAATTTCTTCGTCAGTACTCTAAAAAGCCCCTCAAGGTTGTCGAAGGACACCTACATTCATTCGACAGCAAACTCCGCACTGGTACGAAAACTCCGAGTCGGACGACACGATGTTAAAAGCCTGTCTGACGTCAGAGTGGTGTACATCGACTACATCAAGAATCCGCTGACCACCGTGAAAGCCGAGATTCTCGCCCGATTTTTCGTTATTATCGATCGTTTGCGAGAATACCGCGACGAACTCAATGAGACTGTAAGTGAAATACTAAAGCGGGTCGATGTCTCGGACAACTGCCAGGAGAGAGTGAATTTAGCGCATGCGCTGAACATTAAATTGTTACGACTTGAAACCCTCCTAAAGGACGACAATGATTTCAGTTCGCTGAACAGAGAAAGACATAAACTTGCCATTGGTGACATGCTGGATTTTAGTGGGGTGATAAGCCTTGCTCCTACGATACACGAAACCATACGAGTCATTCTAAAAATACTTCGACAGTACACCCGATCTTTGGGTCATGAGAGTGAGGGAGATGGGAGTATTGCTCCAAGTATGAGTAACCCCTCGAAGCTTTCAGATAGAAAGAAAACTGTATCACTGCCACCGTTGGTTCATTGCCCACCTGCCTCGGTCGATGATCATCACGACCAGGTCCACCAGTACAAAGATGCCGAATCTGACAACGAACTTGACAATGCAACTCTCAAAAAGTTCAAGAAAAAAGCGGATCATTCGGAAGATCTTGACAACCAAAACGGTTATCATAGCAACATGGCGGTTAATGGCACAGAAAGGAAGATTCCAAACATCGAAACGCAAACAATGAAAATGGCTACGACAATAAGAAGGGGTACATCGGGAAGAAATAAAAATAAAGTGGCGAAAACCCACGAGGTTTCTCTTCCGCCCATACACGAAAACGGCGTTCTGGGGAACTCGCAAGATTCCCATTCGGCGGGTAGCAGACGATCTGACGTGAAACCAGCCGTAAAGAAAGGGGAATCTCTTGTTATGACAGATCAAAGCTCGGATATTGGCAATAGCATCTCATCCATGAAGTCTGCTCCGGCAAAATCAATACAAGCAAGTGTAATACAAGGTAATGACATTTTTTTTTCAATTTATTTTATATATGTAGATTTGTATTAAATTATAACTTAATTCTTAATAGTATGGATAATAATGAAATGCTTGAAGCCAAACACGAATCGTATGTTCCAGAATGGTTCGGCTCAGTGGTTAATATTTGACAAGACGCGAATCTAATCAACGTTCTGCGTTGACACACCATTGTATACGTCATTGTTACAGTGTTCGATTTATATTTATTTCAATACACTGTGATTATCTTCTCAATGGTAACTTTCATTCATGTTTACAAATACTTTACAATTCCCTCCGATATTATATTGTTTCATTTATGGCCCTAAAATTTAAACAAATTCTCCTAAAACTCACGATCAAACTTAGTAGTACGAGTAACAAAGCCATATTGCGTAACCGAGTTGTTTTTCAATCAACACCCCGCAGTAAAACGCCCGGTTACAGGACTCAACGCTTTGTAATTAAAACTATAGACATTATTATTGTCTTGAATGCGATCGATAAAAGTTAACATTTCGTTATAAACACGGAATAAATTACTTGTTGGCAGACACGCTCAAAATAATATTCTCTAAATTGAGTTTGGTATTTCCATTATGGGCGCCAGACGTGCATTTTTTATCGGGAAAAGGTCAGTGACCAGCAGTTTTTTTTTTAAATTGTCATATATGCTTTACCTCACATTATTACATATTCATTAGCTTTGTTGACGACAGTATTGTTCTTGTTTTGCATAGATTACAGAATGTAATTTCATTGTTTACATATTAGCAAAAATGCTCACTTACTTGTTGTGTTTTAAGGATGCAACGTAGACGAGGACAATTGTTAATATCGTTGCTCTATACTGTACGTTGATGAATACATTGGATTATAATTCACATTGTCATGAAACGCTGCTCTTATAGAACACATCTGTGTATTCGTTCGATGAAACAGTGCAATTCTCTAATACCATTGTGCAACGGCACATGTATATTTAAGAATATTTAAGAATGTTCATCTGACGAATACTGTGTGTCTTGCAAACGCAACATTTCTGGTTAATGATAAATCATATTTCGAATTGGTCTACAGAATATCAAAAAGGAATATTTAAAAATATATGTTACCCTCTATATTGCATCATTAATAATTCATATTTATATTTTGAGGAACAATATTATTTTACAATAAAAACTGCGCGCATTTCATCTTATTTTGTTTGACGAATGAATGTAAAACGCGCTGACTATTGCTAATAGTTAGTGTAAAAACATATTTTTAATTTACGGTAAATTATACCATATTTGATTTTTATGAAGATGTTATTTTTTTAAACAATATTTAAACATGCTCCAAAAATCTTAAAGTTATCCCCGCTATCTATTTACGATACCAAGTATATCATCTGAAAAACAATCAAAACACCGCGACCCGCAAATCAAAAAAGAACAAATGTTGTCTAAATCTTCGCTTCAATTTTCCTTATATCATATTATTGAAGGGAATTGTCGATTCTATTTCACAGCGTAAATTACTATTTATTTTTGTATTTATTTCCTTAAGTTCTGTATTTTTTTTATGAGTAATAAAAAAATGTCCAAAAAAAGAAAAAAAAAAGAAACAAGCACATTGACGCATTTTGCGGATTGTTTTACAGATTTACAAAGAAGAGTGAAAAGTCTCGAAGACAGTAGTGCGGATATGAAAATACGACAAAAACTACACATACTGCTAACACAAGGCAAGTTCTTCTGTGTCTCGTTTCATTCAATATAGCACGTGTTTGCAATGTAGCTGCGTATACACAACGCGTTACATTTCGCTAATTCGACAGTTGATACGTAACCGAATCTAATATAGTTTTATAACAGATCTTTTGGAAGCGGCAGCACTAATATCTGGCTACGTTGTGTAGCGTAGATCGGGGTGAACGGGTTACACGATTCCAACACGTAATAAGCCTTTTTGCTGGGGGCTAATGGGCGTGACGCGAAGCTAGTCGATTTGCTTCCGGTACACGGTGTGTTTACTTTGATTGGACGTAGTATTTACCTTGCGGTGTATTTGGTCATCATACACGCGTATGATAGTTGTTTCATAAATAAATGGTTGATTGGATTACTATCAATAACGTTTCGACCAAATTCAATATACATGTCCAAATAATTTTACTATATATTCATACAAACTAATATTTGTTAGATAACTTGCTACAATATGGGAGTCAATACGAATCTACTTATTAATCTCTGATTGGCTAACCAAACCTACCACTTAACAGTCGAACCAATCAGAGAGCAATTTGTTGACATGTTTTTTTTCACTCAACTGAAATATGTGCTTACGTTGTTATATACTAGGTTTGTCTCCTACTGTTTCGCCAGAGGTCATTCGAATTACAAAGGACCACATCGCAACGGATATGCTGATGGTTTTCGGTCTGGCCATTGGTCTAAACATAGCAGACATAGCAACACTAAGAGAAACACACCACCAGAATATTAAAGAAATGGCTTCACAGATGCTATCACTATGGCAACGGCAACAGGGTAAACACGGCGCAACGTTGGAGAAATTCATCGAGTCGCTGATCCAGATCGGAGAAAGAGACGTGGCTAGCGCATGTCTAGACGACTTGCGATTGCTTGTATATAGATTGAACGATACAAACAACCGGCACTGAGCTGGTCATTGATGAAATGCTGGATTTTAGTGGTGTAATAAGCCTTGTTCACGCGAGATCATGTCAATGGTGCTTATGGCACGCAACACCGTGACTGATGAAGAAAACACTGCAGCGTTGCGGCTGTTTATTATTGTTACCAAGGAGTGGGGTATATCGATTCAGTTCACAAATTCACAATCCCGTCCATGATTGATCCATTCGTCCCGGAAAAAACTTGAATGATTGTTGTGTATCTTTTGATATGGTTAAGATAAAATATCATATTCATCTCATTGGTTTAATAATTGTGAATGTCGGTTTTTATAGAGGTGATTATTGATGTGTGTTATCATACTGTAACACTGGGTATGTTAAGAATGTCATCTTTGTAAGTTTTATGTTTCGGTACATTATACGAATGTTAGAAAATGATATGATAGCATACCAGAATTTCTGTCTTCAAAAATAGAGGTTAAACTTGAATTTTACACCAAGATATTACACTAACAAGCACAATATCACGTGTGCATGTTTACGCCGCCCCCCCCCCCCAGGTCCGGTATCGTTGACTTCCGGGAAAGTGGTCTGTGCTTAAGTTATGAAGCAATTCCATTATTGGTAGCGAATGCTTGTAGATCTCGGAGGTGTAGCTGACCGCCAACGTGTATTCTGTGTGGTTATGAGAAATAACCACTTACTGAGATTGTAGGTACGTTGATCAGTACAGTACCTGTGCTCAAACTTGTTGGAGCTGGGATAGCGCATTCAATTGCCATAATGTCATTATGTACAGGAAAACTTGAAGGTAATAGTCCCCTCGTTAAGTTATTAACCGACAGGAGGGCGCTAACACAAAATGGAAGTCAAATATCGATGTAACGGACAAGTGCGTTATCTGGCTTACAGCATAGGTGATACTTTACTTGACATGACAGTGTCAGTCAATGCTTTCGATCACATCTGTATATACTACAATATTGTGCTTTGACAAGTGTCAGGCTCAGCTAGTGACGTTGATGCCAGACCGACAATATTTACATAATTGGAGGCAAGAATGTTCCGAGAAAACAACGAGTTAGAACATGTCCAGTGTTGTGAAATGATCACACAGCGCTGTCACTATCCCCAACTATGGAACATGGATACTGTTAGAAAATTCAACATACTACAATATTGTGCTTTGACGAACTTTTTTATATCGGTTGGGGCAAATGTCAATAACAAAAAATAACAAGTACTTGTCCATATTGAGAGATATTGCTCTAGAACAGCATTCCTTTTTGAATACATGTATATTTATAACATGATGTATAACGAATATATAAAATTTAAATATAATAAGTCAAAGCATTTAGGAGATATGGCTCTAGAAGCCCAATCATTAAAACAAAATGGCCGCCAGTCAGCCATTTTGAATCCAATCTGAAAAATAAAATGACGAGCATCAGGAACCCATAATGTCTAATGTATGTACCAAGTTTGAACGAAATCACCCATAAATGCTTGATATTTGATGATTTGTTAGCACAAAAATGACCACCATTCGGCCATTTTGAATAGGATAGTCAAACCAATATATCTGTTTATCTATGACATGATGTATAATGAATATTTAAAATTTGAAAATATTATCAGTCAAAACAAGTCTGAGATATGGGTCTAGAAGCCCATTCATTAAAATAAAATGGCCGCCAGTCGGCCATTTTGAATCTTATCTGAAAAACAAAATTATTTGCATCAAGGTCCCATAATGTCTAATGTATATAGCAAGTTTGAACAAAATCCATCTGTAAACAGCCGAGAAATGGTTGATTTTTAGGATTTTTTAGCACAAAAATGGCCGTCATTCGGCCATCTTGAATCAGCTCGTAAAACAAAATGACGTTCATATGTATAATATCATGTATGATGTATGTGTGAAGTTTGATTGTGATTAATCCAGGCATTTCTAAGATACAGGTCCGGACGCACGGACACACGGAGGTCAAAACATAAGTCCCCGTTTTCGGACTGCGTCCGAACGGGGACTAAAAACGGGGCATAGAGTAAGGTGATACTATGATCCAAAATGCAAAAGTTAAAATTAAATTTAGCCTCCGGTGGGAAAGAGAATTGGAAAGTGACGTCACAAAACACACAACAAGACGTAAAAGACACAATAGCATGTGTCATGATTACGAAATCTTACTGAAAATAATCTGACGTTTTCGTCTTCAATGTTGAGGGGTCTGTGGTGAAGCTGATCAAAAGTGAGTGGACAACGTGTGCAGATGATAATGGTAACGTCAAACCAAACTACTTTACATTGTTGTGACTTTTCGGTGAGTTGTGAATCACAGGAAAGTGAACTGTCTTATCAAAGCCATTGGTAAATTATTCCAACGCAACGAAAATACGTCTGTTGCTGTAGAATGTCTTCATGTGTAATTAAAGCGAAGTGGTCGTCGCGCAGCGCGTGTTCGAATTTCATGTAAATAAACAACGTATTTTACACGCGTTGTATACGTCGCTATGAGTCCCATATCGAACAGGACGCGGCATGCTTAAGGTAATGCTTAATAACGTCACTTGAAACAAAGCATATGCACTCGGCAAAGCCAATATTCATATTTATCAAACAAACAAACATTGGCTGTCTCGTTTTAGCCACTTTAGAAATACAGTTCTGTTTGTGTTGATCGGTTTTGGCATGGACGTACTCACTCTACATCCCAGAGAGTTCTTAGCGCAGGCAGGCTAACACCTCTGCCACACATGACTTTTCACGCTATGATTTGCCACATATCAATACGCAGGTGTTGTTCTGTTATTGAAGACGGCGGCCCATACCCAGTTGACAAGGAAACTATTAAATCTTTCTCTTTCCATATTTCCATAACTTCCATCTACTTTGGTTTCAATTCCACGTCAGAATTGTATTCATTCAGAATACGTTTTAAAGTTCCCGCGAACTCCACCATATTTAAATATACATGTAGTTCGGGTTTGACCCTACCAATGACTCTTGATTTGCATAAATGCATTCTCAAGCTGTGGCAGAGGTGATTTGAAGAAGCGCCATCTTGCGTGGAGAGTGGGACGTACTAGTACGTCCATGGTTTTGGTGAGGTGCCCATTGACTTCTCGCAGGTACAGTAGATTAAACAAACATAAACAAAATCGTTCAAATTCATAATGAACATGTGTGTAGAAACCGTGACTGTTGTTGCTGCATAAAATGAGTGAATCTGCTACATGAGACAGGAATCTACCCCGGGAAACCTACAACCAAGTTAGGACAGCCGTCCGGTCCTTGGCGGCCAATGTCTGAGTATGTAACGATGCAATCCTACATACAGTTGACATACACAAATCACTCTATGTGTATACACTTTTCTGTCCCGGAAGGTAAATAAGTGCACACGTTCGATCAGCTGTCTAAACGTAAAATCCGCGAATCTGTTTACGCGCACGCCAAGACGATCCCAGGTTACGATGACGTCACCACAGAAACGTATGTCGTAAGACGTACTACACGTTAAATGTGTAGCCGAACGTTGGGAACGGTCTAGGCTTGTATGATACAAGGGTCAACACGTACTAACCATAATGAAGCAAATATTTTTCACAACGCGGCTTTTGTTCAACAAACGTGTCACACAGATATCACTCATAAATCTAATACGCCTGGGCAGAAACCACAAATCTCCCACAAAGCGTTGAACCGTCGTACCACTGCGCAACTACAAGGTCTGATGTATCAGTTGGCTGTCATCGAACTTTTCCAACGGAAAGCCCACGTATCGAAAAAAAATATGAGCAAATCACGACACACATCCCACTGACACAACATGACCTCTAATAAGCCCCTCATAAATGTATCGCAAACAGTTTTCTTGTCAAATATTTTGTTTTCTTCGTAGAGACAAGTGTAGATTTACTTTGCAAATACACGTGGCAGCACGTACGATCAAGCACGCAACACTAAATAAAAATAATATCAACTCGTATAATGTGCCAAATTCCTTTAAAAATATATATATAATATAGCATGAGCAAAAATATAATAGAAAAGCCTGGAATAAAACATTCATTGAATAATCTTAAAGAGAATACAATTTTCTCTAAATATATTTGCCCCAATAATAGTACACCAGGAATAAATTACTTGTATGGTGCTAGTCATATTTGTATAAAAGTATTTTTGAAAACATGAACAATTGACAACTCACATTCCAATATTTCTCTACTGATATTCATTTTGTGTTTCAAACTAGAATCCCTAGTTTCTGAAGTTCAGTAAAACACGATTTTGAGAAATTGTTCATGACCATCTTAAGCTTCTAAACTGTTTAAAAATGTAGTATTAGGTCTTAGTAGCGACAACAAACATTTCGAGTGATTGCTTTGGTCAGGCCTGTTTTTAGAGTTAAAGAGCGGCAGTCGCCGCGCTGCGCATGTGCGATATTTGTGTTGATAAACATTGATTTTCCCACAATCCAATGCACTCTTCTAATGGCAATCACAAGTGTGAGATTTGACCTAGTCCCGGTGACTTCTTCGATACCTTCCAATCACCTGAAGTTAATTATTAATTAAAGCTTGGTAACGTCCCAGTTTATACTCGTTGGTCTGTGCAACAATCAAAGTCGCCATCTTTATTTATATGAGACTCATATATCTCGCGCATGCGTGGCGCGACAACTAACGCCATTTAATTTCAATTATAAATTCGCAGCCGTCACATCGTATCGGTTCAGTGTATGTCTCATGCTACGTAAACATCGCAATAAATATACAATATTGTCTGCCTTACATTCAAAGTTACATTAATGAGTTGCGTGGTACCACTTTAATTGTAGGCCAGTAATGCTTATCGTCAGTTCAAACGGTCGTGTAACTAACAAATATACCCATAATTCTTAAACCGATAATATATATTTGTGTAAGAGAGTTTTCCTAGAGGGCGCTTGTCTCTACTATACGTAGGTATCTCGGATAGCATACAACACGTTTTTGTATGTCATTTTCTACATACATATGTTTTCCCAACCTTCTTCAAGTTGTAAGCCTAAACCAGCAAAACGAAAAACTTACCTGACGTCGCTTCGTCGTTGATCTTTCAGCGAGGCCAAGCAACGTAGAAAGAACAAGACCGAATCGCCTTGCTCCAAGCTCAGTATGTATTCTAACCACTGCATTTCGCACCAAAGTCGTCTTCGCATCTTAATCCGTTCCGTAAATTGAAACCACTGGTCATCGTGAAGTATTTGATAATCAGCTTGAGATCTATCTATCTATCTCCAATGGATCTACTAAATAC